CCCCTACGATCATGGGAGCAGCGGGCCGTAGGCCCGTGAATCGTAAGTGCTCAAAAGTGTGGAATTCTGACCGATGTCCTGAACATAGGCCTGTAGCTATCACAGAGTGGGAGCTGACAACACCCTCCCTAGAGAGAGGTCAGAACGTCACCGGGCGACATGCGCAGTGCTGATGCTGTCCCCCAGGGCCGCTTCAACAGTTTCCCAGCAAAAAGACAGGCAGGCAACCTCACAACGTGAAACTTGAATGCAGGTGTGCACTGGGACCCAAAGTCAGACCCAGCTGGGTTTCGATTCAGATCTGAATTGGAGATCCGATAACCGATAACCCACAAACATTTCGTTACTTTTTTTATCGCTTTCTTTATCGCTTTCGTCGTCTGTCGTTGATGGTAAATAAGCTTGATGGATATCTCTGGTGGCTCAGTTGGGCTTAGATATCGGCCTGCCATTGCACCTGCTGCCCCTTGTGCTCCCCTGCTTCAAAGCAAGCGGTGGCAGGCGGTGCTGACGACAGACTCTTCCATGAAAAGATTCAGCGTCGTGCGCCGGACAGGCAGGCGCGATGGAGGCAACAGAGACGGACCCCAGCAAGTTCATGCCAAACAGCACGCCTGCCTCCCAAAGTTGTGCGGATAAAATGATTTTTCATTCTCTCGTATGTTGCTCCTGTTTACGATTCGTCACAGTCGAGGTCAAGCAGCAGCGAGCCTCAAGCGCTTACGCTTCATTGGACGTTAGGTATCAACAAGGCCGCCAACATGCATGTGCCAAAGCCAGATAAATGTGCAGAGAGAGAGAGAGATCAGGCCTGTGCATTCGCTTTGGTCAGGACGTCGTCGGCGGTGTGCACAACCTTTCAGATGCTGAGTCTTCTGACATGTTCTATGCCGCTGCTCACACGGGCGTCATCTTCGACTACAACACCGGGGTGGGCCATTCTTCATTGCACATAGTTTTCGCCAGTGCGTGGTTTGTGGTTTGACAGGTCCAACGGCTGCTGCAGGGCCACGTGAATCCAATCTCGGCTACAGCCGTCTCGAAGGTAAATGCCTTGACACCAGGACGTACCAAGTGTTTGCCGTGATTTTTGCCCAGGACAAGAAGTGGATTGTTACCGCAGACACCGGTCCAGACAGCATGATGGTCGTTTGGGAGCGTGAGCACCAGTCTGAGGATCACAGGAGTCGAGCCCAGAGATCTTGAACTCATCCTTTGTTCTGGCTTCTTTGTTATCTGTACCGTGCAGGGTTTCGTTGACAAGGTCCGGAACACCGGTCAAGACGTTCTTCAATCCGCATCCGTGCGCTCAGGGCGACATGTACGTTCGCGCGAAGTGTCGCTTAAATCGGATAGAGTTCGCTTGCGCTGACAGGTATGGTGTTCACGCTCTAGATATTGCACCCAAGCTGCAGTACCTCGTCACGCTGTCAGCGTCTGTGCCTTATTCTGCCTCTTGCCTGTGGTTCCTCCACGGGCTCAAAGACGGAGTGATAGCCAGGCCCATACCCAGCAGTGACCCCATGGCTTCCACAGCTGGGCAGGCCATGGTCCTTTGCATTTTGCGTGTGTTTAGATGTGCAGAGTGTGGAAGTCATGTGCCGATGTCAACCCTCCAGCTTCACCCTAAACCCTAAACCCTAAACCCTAAACCCTAAACCCTAAACCCTAAACCCTAAACCCTAAACCCTAAACCAGAATCTGAGCTACATTGCTGCCCGCAGCAATTTGGCTTTGGCGGAGCGGGTCCTGCCGCTAGGAGGGGATTCCGTCGCAGGCGCTGCTTCGGCCCTGGGGGCCGGGGGGCGAACGGGAACCATGACAGGCAAGGGGCTCCGGTAGGACCCCATAAACCCCTAAACCCAGAAACCCCAAGCCTCAAAACCTGAACCCTAAAGGCCCTAAACCCTAAGCCCCATGCAAAGACTTACGGAACTCCTGATCTTCCCTGACAGATGGAATGCTGCGCTCGCCGACCTTCTTGGTCGGAGCAGAAAGGCGAGTGTAGCAGAGCCGCTGTAGCATCAAACCCAACTTGAAGCCTGGAAGGGGGATCTCACGCGAGGCAAAGGAAGAACTTGGACGAGTTCAAGCGCCGGGAGCAGCAGCTGGCAGAGGCATGATCGTTGCTGTGCAGTCTTGATATCAGATGCTAAAGCTCTTACTGCAGCTGCTGTCTCTGCCGTCGTTGCTGCATCTTCCAAAGCTTCTGATCCTACTCTTCTCTTGCCGCTCCAGCTGCAACCGCGATCAAAGCGACCAGCACCAGGACAAACGCTACCATCATCATCATCACCACCACCACCACCACCACCACCACCACCACCACCACCACCACCACCACCACCACCATCACCATCACCACCATCACCACCATCACCACCACCACCATCACCACCACCACCATCACCACCATCACCACCATCACCATCATGATCATCATAATCATCGTCATCTTCATCATCATCATCATCTTCTTCTTCTTGCTCATCATCATCATCATTATCATCAGGATCATCATGATCATCATGATCATCAAGGTCATCATGATCATCAGGATCATCATGATCATCATGATCATCATGGTCACCGTCATCATCATCATCATCATCAACAACATCATCATCATCATCATCATCATCACCATCACCGTCACCATCATCAACGTCATCAACACCACCGTCATCACCATCATCACCATCATCACCATCATCATCATCACCATCATCATCATCATCATCATAATCACCAGCATCACCACCATCACCACCATCACCATCCCCATCATCATCATCATCATCATCATCATCATCATCATCATCACTACAAACATCTTGACTGCCACTGGCAGCACTGCCACCGCTGCTGCTAGCACTTTTAACATTACGGCCGCTACCACCATTATCATCGCTACCACCGACCACTACTACCACCACTAGCACCATTCACGTCACTGTACTACAAACATTGCTGCTACTGCTATTGCTGGTGCTGCCGCTCCTGCTTCAAACGGCGAGGAGTGCTGTCTGAACAAGGCAACGGCAGTTCTGCGGTAGTTCTACGATGACGAGGAACGGTAGCAGCCATGAGGGAGTGCAGGGCTTCACTCACCACCGTTTCATCATCCAGGACAACAACGCTGCAAACGCCACGTCGCATGTCGATTCGCGGGGCCAGCTCACCACACCGGATCCTCTAATTGATGTGGTCTGGGAAACATCAGTCTTGGCACACTGCCTTTGGGGGGAACCCCCTAAAAAACGGGCGGGTGAGCAGGTTCTCTGGAAACCACCGGAGGCAAAGCCGTACAGTCGCGCCTGAACTGCTAGAAAAGCGCTTTAAAGGGATTCTAGATGGGTCCTAGAAAGCTTTTTTGACTTACTGAGGCTTGGACTTCTTGAACGAGCCGAGCTTGTCTGAGAAACTTCTTTAGACTCGTGGTGACGAATACATCGAGACTAGACAAACTCACTCGGCTCCCACCGCCTAGCAGGTCCAACAGCAGAAAAATTACAGCATCTCTCAACTCCAAAACCGCGGCCGTGGCCACCGTCTCTGCCTGTTCACATGGTCTGCATGACCAAATGCTTAACCTGCATCGAAGCTATTGCTGTGCTTGTTGGCTAAGCCCTAAGCCCGACAGCATGAGTAGGCCGACGAAATGCAGTCTGAAGTTAGTTATCATTGGACATCCGCAGGCGTACCACAAGAACAAGCCGCTGTGCTTCAACGCCTGCTCTTACCAGAAGACGCATCCCGTGAAAGCCCAGAAGGGGCACAAGGCGCCGGGGGCGGTGCCTGCGATGCCCTGAAGTCCCAGAAGCTCCAAGCTGTTCAGCGGTATGAGCAGGTGCAGAGCATTAGGAGTGGTGCATTGCCAGGATGCGGATGCCTGCTTGACAGTGCCTCTCGTGCTCGGAGTTGCTGATGGCGTATCGCAAATCGAGGACCAAGTTTGGGATGGCGATCCGTATGTCTGCTTGAATCCTGTGTTACGGTTGGTATGCGCTGGAGCAGAGGACTTTGGCATAGATGCATCGATGCTGCCGAACGAGCTGCTTCAGGCAGCTTGTGATTCTGTATCGTAGCGTCCACGAAGATGATGTGAGACGAGGTATCGAGAAGTAAAGATGAGCAGGATAATGAGCATGTCACATTAATGGTCGCGATGTTCGCCTGAAGAGTGGATGACTATGCCAAGTTTCCATGAGAAGGAATGAAGGAAGCAAACAACATTGGGATGAATCTATGAGAGACAGGCGAGCGCAAGCGAGTGACTTCCTCCGAGGAAAGATTGTCCGTTTGAAAGAAAGAAGTGTGGAAGGAGGAAGCGAACGAATGAGTTGTTATATGTTTACACTTGGGGTAAGTTAGATTGCTGGCAGTATTGTGTTGACGGAGCTTGCGATGGCATCTGCTGAACATGTAGAGGATGATGATGACTGTTTATGCTTGTGTCGGTGGTGATGGTGTTGATCTACTACTGCTACTACTACTACTACTACTACTACTACCACAACCACTACTACTACTACTACTACTACTACTACTACTACTAGTTACGAGGACGACGACTCCGACGACGACGACTCCGACGAGGATGAGGACGACGACGACGAGGAAGACGAAGCTCCTACTCCTACTCCGCCTACTCCTACTCCTACTCCTACTACTGCTGCTGCTACTGCTACTGCTAATGCTACGATAATCGCCACTCCTACTCCCCCTCCTGCCCCTGCGGCTCCTGCTGTTGTGTTACCGTTACTAAGCAAAAGTGTTTGCTGGTCAGTCGTTCGCAACTTCACCTGCATCCGAGGAAGCAGGCGCTTCCAAGAGAGGCGTCGACGAGTACCTCGGTGAGGCAAACGCCTGGCATTTCCGGCGCTGCTTCAAGACACATGCCTTCCCCCACTTGCCACCTGACTGCTGTCATTCTTCGTGGCAGATACCTCGCAAATTGTGAGTCCGAAGTTGGTTGATCTCGGTTGCACAGTCGTTGATTGACATCTACCGCTCACGGTTTGTCCTTGACGTTGCTCAAATTTCCTAGGTTTCCCTGCCGGTATCCATTTCCGAAATCCGCTGCAGATAGACGCGTGACTGCAAGTGATCTCAAGCAGCCTGTTCGGCAAGCAGTCTGAAGTCCCTGAAACAAGGCGTTCCTCCAAAAGTGCTAGTTTTGGTCGCTGACCCTCGTCACGCTTTCGCAGTGTGGTGGCAGACCCTCGGACAGCTGCTAGACGGGCAATCCGGGGGCACGGAACTCACACGGGGTTGTAGAACCGAGCCGCCTTGAAGGTTTTTGTTTCAGTGGGTCCTGCCAAGATAAGTCTGGCACAGCACTGCAGCCGTGCAAAAATTGTTGTTCTATCGCAATTCGAGGTTGGAACCGGATGTGTCGCTGGACCTGGACTTCGGCAACTTCTTGAAGATTGTGGCGCAGCAGGAGTCGGCAACAGAGTTTCGCAGATTCTCACAGTAGACCTGACATCTCCGAATAGGGGACCCAGGCGATCCCAGGCGTATATGCAAATTCCAGTCTAGTTCTGAGCATGCCTTATAAACACTAAGTTTGAGCAGGGGTGGTGTCTCTTTGGCAACTACATCGAGCACGCTGCTGCATGGGCGCGGGAAGAAGAACTATATCCGGACAATGCGACTTGGTTCCAGAGCTATCCGGCCTGTTCTCAATCTGTCTCCAGCAGCTCGATTATGATCTCAGCAAACGCACGACAAAGACTGTCGGGTGTAGTGTAACTATATGACACAGTTGTTCGAAATTGCAAGGGAAGCGCTTCTCGGGTTTTGACTTGATAGGCATCCCATCACGTCGATTCGAGCTGATGGCTCGCAATCGTTCCCCATTTCGGCAGAAGCTTCTTCGATTGATTCGATCCCTTCCCCGGTTGTCTCCGATCAACATTCTCCAAGAACCTCAAACCTGTCGAAGCTTTTGCGAAGTCTGACATTGCAGACTTCTCCATGGCTTGTCGAGCAATTTAGCTAGACCAGAGCCCGTTAGGGACATCCGCAACCTCGAAGCTCCCTGTGTCACAGAAAGTGTTAAGGTGCGGCTTTGCATGGCTGACCGCCTAGGTGGATCTGCCAGGATTAGCAGAATTCGGGTCTTTGTTGGCCCGGTTTAGGATTGCTGTAAGATATGTGGGACCGTCACTTCCCAGTGGCACTTCAATGCTGGATTCATCCCTGCAGGCTCGTTGGATCCGCAGGATGTGCGGACAGAAATGTGGCTTGGCAGATGCACAGCGTCGTTTCGCATGAGCTCGTGGGAAGTCATACGGAGTCGAATTGTGGGCGCAGATTGCTACAGGAACATCTTTCTTGCAGCATTTCGCAGCAACCCTTTGCCTGAAAACTGCTCGCATCTCTGCTCAAAGTAGCCCGTGAAGAACTGTCCGACCAGCCGAGGCGCGACATCGCAGACTTCCTCATGATCCCACCGGAGAGGGCAGACTCCAGCCGTCAAGTGCATGTTCATTTAGCAGTGCTTGCTTTCCTGTTTGATGTTTCGAACTAGCCAGACGCAGATGTGGCTGCCTTAAGGATCGGGTTGTGGATTCGATCTTTCGCAGACCGGCAGACGCATGTTCATCCTTGTCCAGAGTAACCCAGCTCGGATTGTGAAGCAGTCCCTGAACGGATATCAAGAGACTGATGTAGAGACTTGGGTGTAGTGATGCTTCGTGCATCAACGACTCTGCTTGCTTCTTGCCTCCAACTTGTTCTCGACTGAGGACAGGCTGGTGGATTACGCTGTTCTTCAAGGGGGTCACATTGTGGAAAATACAGGCAGGAATCTGTACCAGACCCGTGGCAGCAAGTTTCGACTCTGCGAAGTTGCATCACAACTTTCCTGTCCTGTTATGTCCTGTTCGGTTAACAGAAGTCAGATTTGCAGAGCAGTACACAGAGGTTCCAAGATGCCTACGACACAGTTGACGGGCTGGTGCAAGACATGTGGCGCCAAATGCTTCGGGGCCGCAGTTCGCGGTAGGTTCGCCGTTTTTCAGAGCATTTGCTCGCAATGCATTCAACTTGAAGGTTTTTGATGCTGGGCCGCACTGGAAGCTCCTGCTTGGTGGAAGCTGCTCAGAAGGCCGTTCGGTTGCTTGTTGTTGAAAGCCGGCATGCGACTGGAGTACCGTGGCTCAGGCTTTGCAGGGCTCAGCTTCATTGCCACCGATTGCAAAGCCCCCAGAGACATTGGAGCTCCCGCTCGGATCCACATTGACGGATTGGAAGTCTTCCTCGACAGTTCGACCAGAGCACCTGCTTGAAAGCCGATAGCCCGGACAGCATTTGCTGGCAGTCGGCTTGCGACCAACTCAAGGTCAAGACCGGTGTCTTTCGTGGCGAAGATGCCCACAATGGTGGCACCTGTCGACCCTGTGTCTTCCATCTTCGCATCTCAATCGCACGAAACATGTGGCATGTTATGTGTTGCAGCACATGGTCTCTCTGTTGCTCACAGAGCATACAGTATACACACAAGGTGGGATATGCCGAGACACTGCGGAGACCTGCTTCTACTGCCACATGGACGGGCACCAGAGGACGGCTAGTGACTTCAGAGGCGTGAAATCCCGCAAATCCAAACACACATGTAGCACTCGCACCAACGGAAGATCATGTCGTTTTGACGTTTCAGCTCTCCGGTTCTGGGATGAGTGCCGCGACAAATGAGTTTGCCAGGACCAAGCGCGCCAGCCATCGGGTCAGGAAGCAGCGACAGCTCCAGCGAGGACTCTCAGCAAGATGGTGTGCATATGACCAAGAAGCTCTTTCCCATGGACACTCGTAGCATTTGCCGCAGATGCTGCAGAAGGCCGTAGGCGGGCTTCTGAAGTTTCGTGGATGATGGAGGAATGGGGTTTAAGATCCGCAACTCATCCAAGAGAGCCCGTCAGCATAAGAGCCTGTGGAACTAAGAACTGCGCGCGCCATCGCCCGATCCATTCGATTGAATGGCATGAGGGTGTATTGCATATGAGCAGATCATCAGTCCGGAAGTTGCACAAGCAACTTGTTCATTAGACGTCGACGATCTGTGTGTTAACGTAGAAACGGATGTACATAGACAGCCAGCCAGCAACCACCGCTGCCTCGCTGCATCTGGCGACCGGCAAAGCGTGTTGGTGCAGATGGCTTCGGCCGGCGTGTTTCATCTAGAGTAATGACTGGCATTGCATCGCTGGAACATAAGAAACTGTCGGAGAAGTGCTCATACAAGGCATCTGCACCGACTTGGAACCCCCGGGGCTGAGAGCCGAAACCCCATGTTTGCACACATGTGGGTGGCCATGCCTGGTCTTTCGACATTGCCGTCTCCAGATGTGCTTTAGCTTCTGATCCTTGCTGAGCAATGGAGTCTGAAGCAGACGCCTATAGACTCATTCGTTGTAAGCGAAGGGAAAAGCCTGCTATCCGATGCTATGCGATAGCATACCATTCAAGGAGGGAGAGTCAGCAGCTCAAGTTGACTTGCAGGCGAATCCGCCTAGAGTTGACTTGAACGTCCTCAATATCCTTGCGGAGGCCGCGGCTCCCCCACCGTGCCGCTCAGAAAAAAGACAGCTATCGCCTATCGCATTGTGAGCTACATCAGGTCTTGATAGAAATGCGGGAGTTCGAGAAGTCCCCCGTCTGGAACAGAGCCGTGCAAGTCAACTTGTTGCGGGAAGTTTTGTTTTTGCAGTTCATTGGGATCCACATTGAGCTACGATCTCAAATGCATCGCTGTGATGCTTGTGCCGCAGGTGTGCTCGGCTATTGAAGGAGCTGCTGCACCTAACACCTGCGCAGAGGGCACAGTCTTCAGGCACTTACCGACGTTAGGGAGGACGTCAGGGCTCTCGCCTGATGCAATCTCATCCGTTCTGCCTTGTCCGAATCTGGGCGTTTCCACAGCGCACAGCTGGCAGGTGCAAGCATTTCCACTGACCTGGTTCTGCATCCATCAAGCCCCAAGGCACATGAATCTCACAAGACATTGTGCTGGCACGTCATGCGCGTCTCTGCTCCAGAGCACACACTGCTTCCACGTGTACTTATCGCGAATTCATCAACTGCCACTGTTCTTTTCTAGGTACTGCTGAAGAAGCTCCACAACTGCCCAGTCGATATTGTTGCAATGCTGGCTGTGGCCATGTGCCAGATTCCGCTCGTGGCTCAGTCACGAGAAGACAGTCGAACCAAGAAGCGAGTTGTTTACATGTTTGCTTTTCAGGCCAAAGAGACTTTAGGGGGCCCTTGCCTTGCTCCTAACATATCCAGGATCTAAGCGTAAGCGAGGGGGGGGGGGACCCGAACTTCGTCTTGGTGGATTCGGAAGGCTGTTTTCCCGATCCGGAGGGCCCCTCTTCCCCCCCTCAAGTCAGTACAGAGGACAGCAGAGCCGCTTCAATCGGCAACATGGCCGCGTTTCACGTTTACCGCGAGCATTCTGCTTGACCGGTTGTTGACAATCACACTTATCGGCGAGCCGGTAGGAGGGTAGATTGTCTTGCATTGGGGAACGAGCTTTGCCACGGTCGTTCAGCAGGGTCGTAGGCTTCATGTCAACGCATGCGAATTCCTTCTCTGTCAAGCTTGATTGCATAGCCGCTTGCCTGCCAGTTCGCAACACAGCATACAAGGAGCACTGCATCATTCAGATTCGCTTGCCAGCATCAGCTCGCAGTTTCAATGCACTGCTGCGCCCGGCGTCCCTCGAGCTTTCGTCCGTTCTGCTCTCAAGTCAAGTTGCCCATGGCCATGCGCATCATTTCTGTTTGCGTTGTCCTATCGCCGCTGGTCGATCGTGAGTGCTGGCAGCACCAGCCATGAATGTGCTACCATGTGCTACCGTTCGGCCGCAGGTCTTGAAGCAAACCTGATGTCTCGTGCCGGTCACTGTTCTTGTGGCTGTTCTACTGTGTGCAGCCAGTTGAAGAGTGGCTAAAGCTGACAGATAATGGACATGTGCCGTACATGTGCTAACGAGCTGCATCATCTGGTTTCCTGCATTCTTGAGGCTGTTCGCACCCTCTGTCTTCAGCAGGAGTTGTCACACGCTTGTCAAACTTGCGCGTTGCCAGCTTTGTCAACATCGAGTTCTTCACAGCATGGTTAGACGCCAGTCTGTAGAACACTCAGTTTGACCATGGCATGGCTCACCTGCACGATTCATTCGCCTGTCTCTTGCGAAGCAGTCATAGACCGTCAAGACATGCATGCACTACTCCGCATATGACGTATACAAGACTGGATCAAGCGCACTGTCGCTGAGGAATGAGAACATCAGCGAGGATCCCCTGTACAATTCTGCATTGGAGGCGGCTCACACGAGAGAAAAAGCAGCAAAACGCTGACCCCTTTGCAGTGTTTGGCAAGGTGGTTCTGACGCACCCTCCTGAAACACACTCCGACCTTCACCTGCTACTGGTAGATGTTGCGAGTCGGCAATAAAGTCAACACGAGTCCTTCGCAGTTGGTTTTGCCAGCCCCAGCCACAGGCATGACTTCCTATCAAAACTGAGGCGATGCTAGCAGACGAGGCCACGACAGCCGACACTGTCAGCCGACGATGGCTTCGAAGGGCAAATGCTAATGCCTTAGCAGGAAGTTTTAGCATCTTGTAGCTTTGTGAGCAGTGTGGCGTGAGTACGCCAAGCTTGAAGGTTCGGCGCTGGTTTGCCGAGCAAGCTCACCGAATCCTGACTTTGCGCTGCACCCAGCTATGCATGTCCGGGCCGGAGCTGGAAGCATCTTTGGGTTTAGGGTTTGCGGGGCTGCAGAAGCTTGGATTGTGCGAAATAGTTTGGACGGCAGCGTTGGCAGCTTCTAGGAGATGCCTTTCGAGGATGTGTCTGCACAGCTGCGCAGGCTGGAAGACTGCCCCAGCTTGGAAGTAGACCTTCGCGAGCGTCAAGCCATGTGCCGCTGGCGACTGGGACAGGCAGAGCCAGAGCCGACCGGTCACTAGTCGCTTCTCAACCATCCGAAGCAGTTCTGATTCCGGTCTAATGTACAATGCTACCACTTCTAAGAACAGACTTGCTACACATTCCCGAACCAGGCAGCCGCAGCAGCAACAGCAGCAGAAGGTTTTTGCGTCAGCATCCGGGGGTAGTCGTAGCCATGGCCCTTTGACAGTCGTGGTGTGAAAGGGTCAATCCAGCTGCTTCGCATGCTGAAGTGACAGAACACCAGAATCCCGGGCGTTAGGCTTCTTGTGTAGGCAGAGTGCTGCAGAGCCTGATTCAGGTGGAAGAAGCAGCACTTCAATTGGAAGCCTTGCTCGAGGACGCTTATCAATTCTATGCAGCAAGCATCCTTTTCTCCAAGTGCTGATCGAGTCCGAGAGGACCCTGGGGAAAGAACAGAGGCAGAGCTGCGCAACATGAGGCAAGACGGGGAAGTTTGGTAAAGTGCCCCGCATGCAATGCCTCACCTATACCGGCAGGGTTCGCGCGGCAGAGGCCTGGATCGAGCCTCGGCCAAAATTTGTGACTTCTGCTTGGCGGTCTGAGATGAAACTACTGGTGCAGCCAGGAAATTGGCAATTCCAGCAGAGCAGATCAAGTGCTGAGTTGCTTGAGCTACGAGGTTCCACATGACGTGCCACACAAACTTCGCGTTGTCCTTTTGATTTTATGCAGGATCTACAGCGAAGCAATGCTCTACCACCCCCACTGAGCACAGCAGAGCGCAAGTCCCTCTACAAGGCAGATCGTCTCGTTGATGTCGTTGACTCCGGCCACCAGTCGACAAAATGCTCAAGAAGGAGCTGTCCGAAACCATCGATCGGACACTGAGCGCCGCTGCAGTGGCTAAAGACATGGCCCGCTGCTCAGACATCCGACCTGGTCAATGCATTTCCTACAATCGCATGCCAAGATATGTTTCCCGTTTCAATTGAAGCCTGCAGGAGCATGCTCATGAACACGTCGGGACTAAGGAGGTGGGCCGTGTTCGCCCACTGTAAGAGATCTGATTGATAGTGCTACCGATGGCCAGGAGCTGCTGCGCTTTTTTGCGAAGTTCCGTCATCTTGTGTTTGGTGCTGAGATCTTTGCAGGTTCAAGATCGCACTTGCTATTGCAATGTCGCCCAGGTACGACTGTGAGCTTGACTTCAAACGACTGGTCGCTCGAAGTACCAGCGCAAAGGAGGGCTCAGCTCCGGCAATTGAGGAGCTTTGCAAACAGACTGAAGTGAGCAACGGGACCCACGGCAAAGTGCGCAGGACGTAAAGTGCAACACATCGAAGCCCAATGCCGAAGATGAGGCTTCCGGCTTGCTGAGGCTTTCACGCAAGCTGACCGCAGCTAACCCGAGGGAATCCAGCAGGAGTCCGGCCCTGGAGGTAGAACCGATCAACCAGACGCAGGCCCGATAGCAGCTCCGACGCTTTGGCGCTTGGAATGCAGTCGTCAGGCCAAGGTCCAGACAGCCTGCTGCTTCTTCCTGGGAAAGCTCCGAAGGCCGAAATCTCCCAGTGACATCGTGCGTTTCAGGCGTAATCACTGTCGTTTTCTGCCGCTTGAAGGCGTCAGCTTCGAAAGCTGTGGGAAGCTCGGAGGTCAATGGGAAAAGCAGGTGATCCTTCTTCCATTTCTCCATGCATTAGTGAGGCAGACGAGGTGCTGCAGGCTGCGTGCTTTCATGTTGTTCGATGTGGTGCATCGTATGCACCTGAAAATCTCCTACAGCCACGGAAACCAGGAAAAGTAAAGACAGCACAGGCCGCGACGATCCACAAGTTCAAGAGACGACATCTGGGGATCCAGACAGTTGAGGACATGCCAGCGCCTCAGCATTGTCTCAGGGGCGGGGAATTCCAAACAGACTATACACTCTTGCAGGTTTGGTTTTGAAGCCTACCTTACCATGGTCAAACACGGGGTGGTGATCATTCGTGCCGGACTTGGTTGTTCCCGCTCTTCTGACACTCAGCTCCGCTATGCTCCGCTATGCTCCGCTATGCTCCGCTATGCGCTGCTCTCCTCGAGGCGCCTTTGCACGGTCCACGAAGGAGTCCAAGTCTCGCGAGGGAACCGTCCAAGCTGCGCAGGCCAGGCTCAGAGCGGCAGCTTGGGCTTCGTTTTGCCCCGTGAGGCGGTTGAAGTTTGCGAGATGATCCTCTCCAACCGCAAACTCGTGGCTCAGAGGAATCCGGCCCTCTCCCCAGGTTTTCGTTTGCTGCCCCGATAATTCAGCAACTAGTACGTCGTACGTAGAGAGTTTGGATGGGCTGACTCGGAGGTGAAGCGGCGCATGATGAGGGATTTGGCGATGCTGTCGCTTTCTGTAGGCCTGTGAATTGCCTCAGCAAACTAAGACACGTACGGAGGAGACGCGGAGCGGGAGAAGTCAAACGAATCGCCTTCCATTTTAATGTATTTGAATTTTGCAGGTTTCGAGGCACGCCTGTGGAGAGTGCAGAGCTAAGCGACATCTGTGCGGGAAACAATGCTCCATGTCATTGAGCTCGTCACTTTCCTTGACTTCAGGTCGTGTTCAAGCACCTGCGCAACATTTGCGACCGGAGTGGAAGCGATCATGTCGTTGCTTTGTGCTCCAGACTGCTGCCTGCAACCTAGAGCGAGCGGCCCGAAAAGCGAATGGATGTGAATGTTCTGAGTGGTGGCGGTTGCGATGCGCCCATATGCGTCCCAGGTTCACACATGCAGATGTGGATGGAATGGGCCCGGGAGCAAACAAGGCAAGGACGTCTCGAAGGCGTCAATCTCATGCACCGGCCTGTCTACGAGTGGAGGACCGCGGTGATGCGGCCCCGTGGGAGCATGAAAAAGCACACAATGCAAGCTGGGGGCACCGCCCAACCGGCTTGCTTTGCAGATCTTTGCAGGACTTCATGTAAACGGATTGTCATTGGGCGACTGCACTTTCGACGTTCTGCAGATGGGCCGGTGTATGCTTGCACGAAACAGGCAACACATATGCGGCAGCGTTTACTGATGTCCGCGGCTGGGCACTACGGAAGCTGCTGAGAAGGCATGCCGGAGTCCATGTGACACCAATCGGACCATGCATGTAGTGGAGAAGCCCGGACGGCAGTTTTTAGCTTTGGTGTTTCTCATGCTCTCCTGTTGAAATCCTGGATACAGGCCCCGCGCATTCGGACTTACTTTGCTGTGCGCGCACTTCTGCATCATCGCTTCGCAGTGCCGCTCTGAAAGCTTTGCAAGACGAGTCTCGCAGCAGCTTGATATGAGCTCTGTTGGGTGCAAACTCCAGTCTGCCCATGGCGCAATCGGACCATGCAAAGAAACCGTTGGGATGGACCGTGCAACTGGGGCGCAGGTCTGAGAAACTTGAATCAGCTACAGTAGTTTATCACTGCGCTCTACAACGACAGACTGTACTCTGACAGACTTTCACGGCACCGACATCATGAGCAGTAGGTACCCCTTTGCCGTGGCCGAGTACTCTCGGGCACATCGTTTGGCGCCTTTCGTCCAATTCTCGGATGCATAGCATACTGCAAGCTTGCCTATAGACACTGGTGAGTTGTGAGGAACCACTGCCAGCTCTTTGCACTGCTACAGACATCACCTCAGTCCTGGCAGATGCAGTTGGCAGCACACAATCCGATCTCGAATCTAGAGCTTGTCTCGAGGCATCTCGAGGCTAACAGAGCACAGTTCCAGGTAGACATCGGCTGGGTAAGATGTCGTAGCTTGAGCACAGGATACACGGAGCTTGCTGTGAACTTGCTTGTTCTTTCAAGGCATATCTGTCCTTCTCAATGTCGCGTGCTGCAGTGTGCCGCCATGCCCCAAGTCGATTTCGACACAACATAGCCGGCACAAAAGCAACGATCCATGACACCTTCCTGTTAAGCTCTCACGGCCACCCGTGCCGTTCAAGCAGCCTTTCTTAGTGGTTAGTGCGAAGAAGCATGCATTTGACCAGGGATCGGTTGCAGCCGATCCACGTCCATTCAGAAACACAGAGGGACACCGGATACCTGGTTTGCCTGGTAAAACGCGGGACAAGTCACCAAGGTCATGATCTCGTTCTGAAAGGCCTTACCTTCTTGCAACGCTACCGCCGTCTGCGGCTTCGCAGCGCAGGCACCCGTCAGTTGCGTTCGAAGACCGAGCTTCTTCAGTATCTGCGTTGCGGGAAGGTTTGCTGCCTCTCGACACATCACAGGAGGACTCCAAGTGTCGTCGCTTTGATGTCCTGGTGTTGGCGACTGCTGCCTGGTAAAACAGCTCGACAGCCTGAATTGGGCTAGACCACCGCGATATTTTCGGATCTGGCAGCTGCATAGAGCAGGATCCTTCCAGCTGGGATGGGCTGCCCACAGAGCAGCGTGCCCATTGTGGGACGATGAAGTGCAGCGAGATTGAGCGAAATTAAGGCGGCAAACGTGGGAAGATGCAGTGACGGACGACGCGTCATCCTGGCCGTGCTTCGTCGTCAGAAGCAAGCAAGCAAAGCAGTATTGACTGTTGCTGTGGATTTACTCGTAGTGGCTTGAGTGAGCGATGGCATGCCTAATCTGATGCAGGTTCACGTTTGTGGTTCCGCTTGTTTTGCAATGGGCAGAATTCGGAGAGTACGCGACGGCGCCTGAACTCCCGGCCAGGCTGGAACGCTTGGCCATGCAGGCTGAGGTCGCCTACAACTACGGCGGAGGACTCAAAGCTTTGCTCGAGTCGAAGAGAGAGCCCTTCTCCGAGGCCGCGCCTTTCATCAGCTGAGCATCTTCAACCCAGCAGTCGAGGCCGACGGCCGACGGCCGATGTGCTTGGAGGCTTGTAGTTGGTGACTTTCAAAGTCGAGGCTTACGAGGCTGCGCTGGATCTCTTCGAAAGCCATCACCTTAGGACGGGAAATCAGCACTGGAGATCCAGCAGACTGGTAGTAGGCACTTGCCTGTGCAATGTTATGGAGCACCAGGTCTGTCACAGTCCGAATGCAAGAGGACCGAGCGACGTTCTTTTTGTGCAACAGACTTAGTGTGCATGTCTCTTGCCTGAGCTTTGGAGCTTACCTGCTCCGACTCTAAGTAGGCCGGATTGTTCAGGCATATTTCTCCATTCATTGGGTTCAGGTGTGTTTTCAGGGGGGAGGGCCCAAGTAAAGCTCAGGATAATATAAATAAAAGATTAAGAACAAACTGTGTGACGACGTGCTGCGGGACGGGGGATGCCCCAAACACTGGCATGCGCGGCTTTTGCACTTTGGAAATTGAACTAGGTGGTTGATCTTGTGTCAAGTGGGTCTGCAGACTGGTGACTTGTTCCGACATTGAACTTGTCACACCACAGTCGGCACCCCAAATTCCAAGCAACCTCTCTCGAGGGATCTTTCCTTACCTGAGAACAACCTCCTTCCACAAAATGCATGGAACCGCTCTTGCAATGTGGTTCTGATCCTTCACTGTTGTTGGATACCCTATCACGTACCGAAACTGCCATGAGATCCTACAACCATGATTTGTTATTGATGCCATTTTTTGTCGTTCGTAATGTTTGTGTTGATGCTCCACCCTTGGTTTCAGCAGCTTGAGATTCAGGGTTTGACGCTGTGACGGGCTTCTTCACCGAATCCACAGCAATCGCAGGTGTGGCGTATCCCAGACTGCAGCTGAAGCTGAAAAGTTATCGCAGCAGTCATGTGGACTGGGTGACCAGGACAGATTTGGTGATAATCCGGAGATCAGCAGCGTGGAATTTGGCCTACCTTTACAAGGCCAGTTCAAAGAAGCCAGATGTGTTCGACGGTGTGCCCGGCGCCGGCCCTCGCACGCACCCGCGCGTGCACCTTTGATCACACGTGCGCTAAACCGGGATCCATCATTCCGTCTGTGGGGATTTGGACATAGCGGAAGTACATTTACACACCCATCTCTAATCTGCGCGGGCTGAACACACAACTGGAGGACGAATTGCTGTCAACTTAGACAAGGACCCGCAGCCTAGAACCGTGCACACAGTTGTAGGAGACTGCATGTTGCACACATGTCCCTGCCTCTTGTGCATAGGTCTGCTGCATGTGGAAGCAAATTGCTGCAACTGTGCATCCAGTCTGGATGGCTGATGCATAAGGCATAATCTCTTACAACAAAAACATTGACTGGCCTCAAGTTGTTCAGACTTATCCTTCCACCAGGACGCTTGCAATGGTAACATGTAAGGCACCTGATTGTTGGTCCATGGATGTGGAGCAAGAATTAAAGGCTGCGCGGTGAATTGCATGATGTTGGATGTGGAGCAAAGGCTGATTCGCATGTCAGGTAAGCAGGACCATCAAGGTGCGCGCGCACACGCCGGCACGCGCGCAAAAAAAAAAGCCCGGCCTGTCCCGGTCTACTAAAGTCTACAGTCTACTATATTCAGCGTCATACACAACAGTTCGTGCCATCCTGTAGAACTCTGCTGCTTGGCACCAGGCCCAGGGCAGCTTGGAGATGGCAGCCGACATTATTTGGCGCCACATCCTTTGGTAACTCCTTGGGCTATCGTGGACTCGTGGACTACATGCAGCCATGCAGCTCATCCCTGGAGATGTCTGCAAGGCGCTGGCGCTTGAAGAGTTCCACCTCTCAGAAGGACACTGACGAGACCGAGCTCGCTCGAGTCACCAGCCAGGGCTCTTGACGAACAGCGCTTCGTGATATTCGGATATGCGGTGTCTGTCGGTGTGAAGCACCCAGCTCGAAGAGGAAGATCTGTGCTCAAAGGAGTGTCAACAAAGGCTTTTCGGAGCTCGGCGTGCCGTTCTGAATGAAATCTCCCTGCGCGGACTGTATGCATTCTTCTGTCGGCCCTCGACTCCGTCAACGACTCTTGCAACTTTCGTTTCTCAAGTTGTTGTTTCCATTGCAGGCCTGCAACACCTCAGCGGATTCATCGGCCCCCCAGTTGGAGCCCGGTCGCGCGAGCAACGAGGCAGCAAAATCGAACTTGGCAGCGTCCTTGGTTGGTGGCCTGTAGGACAGGAGACCTTACGATCGGCGGAGCTGCCTGCTGTAGTCGTGCTTTGTGTCAGGTGCTTGGTCCAAGTATTGTTCCTGGCTGTGTTTTGCTGCCAAGCTGGATCGCCTCTGATGGTTTCTCCAATGCGGTTCAAGCGTTGTCGGATACAACAGATCAGACAGGCTGCCAAGCCAACCAATCCAGAAATTGCAGAACCACACTACGTTGTTGTGTTTAGGAGCAGTGTGTGAGAGCATCGTCTGGCTATGAAGCGTGGCCGGGAGGGCCCCAGCCTCACAGAATTGTCTCGGAAAGTTTCTAGCTCGTTGGCTCCTCAGCAGGTAGAGGTTCGGGGCCTCCAGCAAAACGCGGCAGAGGGCCGCCCGTGGGCGTAGGACGCTCCGCATTCAAGGCTCTTTTGCACTGCCACGCCCAAGGTAAGGCACGCTCTGTGCTTTGCAGGTCCTTTGCCCAGATCGGCTCGTGGCAGCTGTTTTAGGATCAAGCGGGCAGACCGCTTGAACCTCGGGACGCGAAAACTGCTCACACGCTCTCTTTGGAGCCTTTCTTGGAGCCGCCTTCCCGAGGTCGCGAAGATCCAAGAACATTCAGGCCCAACGGCCCAAGACCTTCTGTCAGCGCTTCACGTGAGCTTCCGAAGGTTGCCACTGCAACTTCTCGCGGCGAAATGAGCTGGAGCTCGAGACTGCTTGCTGTCTATAGCCATCATCCTGCGCTTGCGTGCATCCAGGTTCTTCCCAGACACCAATCTGCGCCTGCTGGTCATCTCAGGCTGACTGCACTTGGCTTGGCTTGGGGACTTGTCGCAGCCGCTGTGGGCCCCGCCCCCCCGCAGGCCCCGGCCCGGAAGAAATCGTCGCTTGCTTGGAGCTGTTGCTCGAACAGGCGGAGACTGTTTGTCGTTAAGCATGAGCCGAGAAGGATTGGGAATGAAATTGCACCGAGTAACTAGCAGTTCCTATAGTCCGTGTCGTAGCCGACATCGCGGCGGTAGCAGTAGTCGTCGTCAGCAGCAGTAGGAGTAGGGGCAGGGCCAAGAGCAGCAGCAGCAGCAGCAGCAGCAGGAGGAGTAGTAGTAGTAGGAGTAGGGGGAGTAGCAGTGGCAGTGGCACTGGTAGTCCCAGTGGTAGTGGCAGTCGTGTTTGTCTTTGTTGTTTTTGTTGTCGTTGTTGTCGTTGTTGTTGTCGTTGTTGTTGTCGTTGTTGGTGTTGCTGTTGTGGTTGTGGTTGTGGTTGTGGTTGTGGTTGTGGTTGTGGTTGTGGTTGTGGTTGTTGTTGTGGTTGTTGTGGTTGTTTTGCCTGTTGTTGGTGGTGGCGGTGTAGTTGTTGTTGTGGTCGTTGTTTTT